AGTGAAATACTAAAATCAAGGGGATTGAGAGTAAATCTCAGTGCAGTCTTGCAGACTTTTCTTTCAGGCTTACACTGGATCTAGCAATTCTGGAGGCCCCATTAAAGGCATCCAGGCTTCCCAGGGCCCCAGATAGATGTTTCTTGCCCATCACCATGCAGACTCATGCCCATCAGCCCCACACATCCTCCCCAGCTCTCAACATTTCCTCCTGATCACCAACCACCAGGAAAGGTGAAGTTTACAGTCATCCTTCTTCCTACCTTTCAATAGCCTAAAGCACACAGTAAATCATGAGCAAATAGGAGAAAAATAGTGTCAGAGAGGGCCTAAAATTAGAAGCAAAATAGCCTAGAGGTAAGAGAGCAGCTGAAACCAGCCCATGGTGACCAGTAGCTCCCCTGAGCAGAGGTTGAAGTGCTACCTCCACAGCAAGGAGTCTTCACACTTTCCCTCACAAGTCCCTGGGAATCTGCTTTCCACTAAAGCATTTCTGTGGGGGTCTGTGGCAAGCTGAGTTTCTGGAACGAAAACATCACAGAACAGCTCAACAGCTCCTGAGGAGCATTGCCCACATTCAAGTCTCTGAAGCATTTAACTGAAAAGCTTTAGTGCCCTGTACTCAGGAGGAGCAGCTGGCAATTTGGCAGGAAGCTTTTGGTGTCCAACATGTGCCTGGTGCTACTTCTAGGGGAAAAAAAACACAAATTGGGCAAACAAACCTCTGAAGGCCTGCATGTGCTCAAAGACTGCTCGAACAGAGCTCTAAGCTTCGCACCGTGGGTCCTACCAGACGCCCAGGAGAGGGGAACCGGGCTCTGGAGCTGGGTGGCAGAGCCCCCTGCTCTCCACGTGTCCCTGTGGACTGCTGCGCTCAGGGGCAGCGGCCAGGCCCCACGCTGGGGCTGTGTCCTCATCAGGAGGGCAGCTCTGTGCTGATCCACACGGTCCCATCCCGCCCTCACCCACAGCTCCATCGGCACTAAGAGCCGGAGCAAGGGCTGACTCAGGACCACAGGAGCCAGCCCCAACCATACTTCTATTTTTAACAGCGTCTGAACCCCCCAGCCTTTCATCAGTGTTTTAGCTGCAGTCATCACCAACCATGAGGGTGTTGCAATTTTCTGTACTTTAGGTTCCTCAATTACATTGATTATCGCATTAAACATTCCTGGTGCTGCAGGAACAGGCTAAAAATAAGCTTGGATCTTCACAAAGCCCATGAAAGCTGTTCATACACTGGGAGCGTGGGGGGCTTGTTGTTTCACAGTAATGAATCTTTCCTCTCCAGAGACCCAATTCATTAAAAAAAAGAAACACTTGCCAAGCTGTGTACATTTCCTCCTCCTCCTTTTTTTTTAAATAAACACTGCCACCAACTTCCCTGCAAGTTCAGATCACACTGGTGATCTGCCTGCTTGCAAGGAGCATCTTTCCCCCTTTCCCACCATGGCACACGCGGCCACATGTCCACTCAGGACACCAGGAGCTCGCACAGCTCCTACTTCTCTCTATAGTTGCCTTTGCTCCCTCTGAGTTGCCTTTGCTCAAGGTCCTAAATCAGCAACATGTTGCAAGAGAGCAAGTGAGACACTATATGGAATGCTTGTTTTTAATAAAAATATTAATTTCAGTCCCCAAAATTCAAGAAAGCAGATCATACAGCAATGCTGCCTCCAGACAACCCCAGGTGAACGCCACTGAAGTGAAGGGTAGCAGGCAAGGAGCAGGTCCCTCCATGACCACCCCACACCTTCACAGTGCTCTGGAATAACACAGCAGAGGAGCTATGTAGCCTCCTCCCCAGCACCACATGCAGCCAGCACATGGGCTCCCTTCTTTGAGGGCAGCACCATGACCCCCATTGAGGAATTTGCAAATTGAACTGAGCACTGCACAGCAAGAGCCAAAGGGGTTCAGTCTGTTTGGGACAGATGTGACTCCTGCTGCCAGACAAATAAGTCAGTTTTGCCCAGCCCGATGCCTTCAGTGTTGCCATGAGATGAGCATATCCCACTGGCACGTTTGGAGTGGGATAGAAAAAGCTGCTGCTGCTGCCCTACAGGATGGGGGAAGAAAACCACTCTGGACTTGCCCTTTCTACTATCCATGACTTCCTGTCATGTTGAAACAGTCAAATCTTGCTTAGCACAACTTTGATGATCTCAAAACCTCAATTATCACCAAATAGGGTCACATTCCTGACGTGGATTAATTGCACTAAAAATTAGCTCAGTTATCAGAACCCTCATTTATCATAATCAGTTCAGCAGCCTTCCTATTACCTGGTAACTTGAGGTTTGAACACTTTAGGTTCCAGTGCTAGGGGAAGTACACTTATGCAAGCTTGTGGTGGAAAGACTTAAAAGCCCTGAAATGACAGGTTTGAATCCACATGGGCTGCATGAGGCTTCCTCAAGCAGATTCCATGATTCCAGGTGTGCTCTGCCCAGACAATAGATGTCACAACACTTTATGGGGACACAGGTTTTTCTCCCCAAACACTCATAATCACAGCATACAAGGGGCATAAACCCTAGCATTACACATGGGAAGTTTCCTTTTCCTGCTGCACTCTTCCCCTGAAGTGACTGAATTTTAATGACAAGCTCACAAGCTTCTTGCAAATATAAACTGCTCCGCAGTGTCTCATATTTACTTATGCAGAGGAATTAGGGACACTGGACATCAAGGACATAAAAGCCATAGATCACATGAAGGGTTACCCTCAACTGCCCAGCTCTCAGCTGTGGGCCTGCCTCCCCACTCATCCTCTCAGTCCCGTGTGCCAAAAGCCACCCTGAGTCAACTATAGCTTTGTAAAAGAAATCTATAGATCTGTGATTCCTGATTTATCTGATCAAACGAACTAAACACATCTTGACTGTAGCTGCTTAGGTTTCTACTCACTGGATTTGCAGGTAGAAACATCTCACTCACATATGTGTTCCACAAGTTGCAAGTAAGACTTTTCTTGCTGTTGACGTGAAAAAAAAATGGGCAATGTAGCTTGCTCCTAGCCTGGTTCTGTTGCATAATCCTCCTTTAACTCTTTTCAAATATTTTGAGGTAAGGTTTCCTAAAGCCACACATTCATAGGTCAGAATTCTTAACTTACACAATGCTCAAGAGCATTGGCCTCAGCTTGGCACTTGTTCCCCAGTCTGCAAGGGGGCTGTAATACTCATCCACTTTCATACAATGTCTGCAAAGCATTCAAAGCCAAAACTGAAATTCCCAGAGAAATATAGTTAACTGTTAAACACAATTAAGTTACTTTTCCACTTCTGCATTAAATACAAGCACATAATTAGCACCTATTTCAAAGCACTGTGCTTAGTTTCACTTGAATCAGGTTTTTCAGCAATGCTGATAGCCAGAAAAGCCTTCAGCAAGAACCTTGGTTTCCACTCTGGCCGACTTCAAGAGCACCCAAGGGTTCTGCTCCACACCGAGGTCAGGCAATGCCCTCTTTACCAGAGCAGGACGGCTACCAGCCAACATCAAACCACCTGCTACGCTTCCTGTAGAAACTCACTGCTTTTCCAAACCCTTATAATTGGTCGTCAGTCTTGTACACAGCCAGAAATATAGCTTGTTAAAGCCTGAATCACCAAGCTGCTCATTAAATGCCAGCAGCATCATCTCCTCCGAGACTATTGACCCTGCATAGGGAGTTACCAGCCCCGTACAGGGAAGAGGATCCCTGGCAGAGATGGGGCACCTGGAGTACATTTCCCACCCGCTGGGGAGAATAATATCCTGTTTTACAGAAAGGATGCTTCCCCCACACACATGTACAAAAACCACCAGCATAGCTGTACACTCACAAGAAAGGCATTTCTATAGAAGGCACCTAAATAGCACCGTTCTTCCTATTTTCCCTGTGTTTTATCTTCAAATTGGGAAAGCTTTTTTTTATAACACAAATCATCAGAGACAAATAGCTAGTTACCAAGGAGATCCTCTGATGAATCAGATAGGGACTGGTATAAGATCTAGACATACGGTATCTTCTTAATTCATGAGACCTTACATTTTAAACAGGAGGGGGAAAAAAAAGATCCTATCACAGCCAACTGTGGGCCACGCATTTTTCCCTCTGCCAGCAAGAACAGCTTTTATTTTTGCCGTAGGAGCAGATAACAAATGCGTAGCGTGGAAGCAGTTAGCAGATTTAGACGAATGAGAGTGTCTCTCTGGAGCACTCTTGACTCAGAAAAAGAAACACCACCCAAGGACAACATGGTCTGGATAGAGGAGACTGAGGGAAAGGCTGAAGAGCCCCTGTTTTCACACAGGGACGAGCAAGGATACACAGGGTCAGGCAAGCTCTGGAGAAGCAGCTGCACTTCTGCTTTGTCACAGCCATGGCATTTTTAAAAACAAAGGCTGCACTGCAAGGAAAACTGCCTGTCCAGCCACTTGCCAGCCTGGGACTGAGCAGTTTGGGATCAGTTTGGACAGGAGCAGCCTAAAGCTCAGCCACATCCAGCCCGGAGGCATCCTCAACCCCCAACGCCACAGGACCAGCTGGAAGCAGCACAACAAGCCCTTCCTCCATGCAAATCCCACAGTTTTCTGCAAGGAGAAGGTGCTGAATCCTGCCAAGTGTCAGCAGAGGCACTTCCACGCACCAGACCAAGTTTCCTGCTTTCTGGGATTTACCATCATGCCCAGGAAACACAGGAGCCGTCCTGGCAGCTGGAGACGCTCACAGCAAGCCAATAGGGAGAGAAGCTTTAACAAACATGCTGATAACACGGAGCTTTGTAGAATAAAGTTTGGAGCCCAAAAAATCAGCTTTTTGGGGCTGGCTCTTTGCAGAGGGTCTCGTCACTTGCCTCCTGGCACCTCAATTGAGAAAAAATACTGAACACCAGGGTCTCTGGTTTGAGAGAGAAATTAAAAGCCTGGGAATTGCAAGAGAAAAAATATCTGGAGACAAGCATCAAAGAGACAAGATATATGGAAACTTCCTTCTTGCAAATAAGCTGCTTTTCCAAAGGTGAAAACTACAGAAGTATGTAGATGAGAGGGAAAACCTTCCTGTCAGATCCAATTGAAATCTCCATCCTGGGACCAGCTGCTCCTCTGTTGCTAAGGTAACCCGATCAATTAAAAGGTGGCTAATATCGCAGGACACATCAGGATGCTTGAAATGAGCACTGTACTCGAGAGCTTAGATGGGCCAGTGTGAAGTACCAGGGAATGGAGATTAAAGCGTGTGTTAAGGGCAAATTTAGACTTTACTGCTGCGAGCATTTTGCCAGAGGATTTCCTACAGCATTTGCATTCGACACAAGGCTGATGCCTACTAACCAGGTTGTTAGTAGAGGATTCAAGGAAAGGGTATTTTATAGGTAAACAACTTGAAATGCTGTTTTATGATTTAAATTACACCTGCTCAGTTGAGGAATGAATTAACTGTTAGTAGTATTTATAGGCTGAAGCTAAAGGCTGGCAGTGATAGTGATGCTTATTGCAACGTTATTGGGGGGAATTATTAAATGCTCTGTTGGCCTCATTTGGGAAGAAAAATACTCCAGAAAGCTTTGATTGAGGGTGAAAACTGCATATGAAGTAATGAAGAAACACTTAGACCAAAAACTGCTTTCAGCACCAAAAAAATAAGAAAAATCCAAGCTGTAGCTGACAGTCAATCACTAACTTGCTGTCACTCTCTCCTTCAACTTCACACACTGAAGGACTAGAAGTTCAGCACACAGATTATATACCATTTCCCTGCTGCACTTCAGACATGTTAGGGAAATTAAAGGTATAGCAGCAGCAAATTAAAGCTCATTTTCAGACTTCAAGTACTTAATAGGTTACTGGTTATTGTTTGATTTCATATTTGTGATCTTTATATTTTAATGTGAAATAAGTTATTTTAGTAATTAAGAAGCTATATTAATAATTGCATTTAGTATGGGAAAGGGCTGAGGAATCACAAGGTCCATGTGCTGTTATTACAAGCATAACTTCCACCAACACATTGTCTGGCAAATGCTGGACTGTCACAACAGTGCCATCACTCCAGCCTTAGTCTGAACTTATCTATCTGTTATTGCATGGAAAAGCATTGAGCATTTGCTTTTGAAAAATGTGCACAAATAGCTCTTAAACCATGAACCATATCTTACGAAGTATTTTTAGACTGAGAACATATGTGCAGGTTACTGATTTACAGATGGACAAACTGAGGCAGTGAGCATGCAACTCTTGCGTCAAAGCCCACAGCTGAACAGGAGAGAAATAACTTGAATTTCCACTTCCACTGCTTTGCACTTCATCTGCAAAGGCTTGAAAACTCATTACCCTTATGATCTTAACTGTGCAGTTGAGCAGGTCTGAGGATAGGCACTACAAGCAGCATAAACAGCATTTTGTGCTTTTAGGATGTATCTGCATGCTGCCGTTGCCTTTGAGTTTTGACAGCAGCACATGAGTAGGTTAACAGCAGTCTAAAATAAAGGATTTGAGTTAACTTATTGCCACTAGCATGACTCTTGTCCAAATACGTAGACAAAGATCAAGAAAAAAGGTGTGGATTCAAGAATATAAAATGCCAGGTAGGAAGTAGCCTCCACTGAACCATGGTGTTTGGTAGCGTGTCACTTGGTGCTAATCAGATTTGAGAACAGGGATGGAGTTTGTATCAAATAAGCCTAAAACTGATATAGTTAGCTCTGCACCTCTAAATACACCTAATTTTGTATAGTTTTAGAGAAATTGGCTGTGTGCTTTTATTTCTAGTTTGTACTAACTTCAGCCATTGACTCTTATCTACTCCGTACCCCCAAGGAGCTTAAACAGATCCTACACATTTCCAGCATCCCCGAGCCAGTGCCTCACCTTATCCCAGGTGGTCACCCCAAGGGGACACCCTTGCAGGTTAATGCGTGAGCTGGGGTTGGGATCCAATTCAGGGATTAGCTCACCCTTTCAGACACCCTGGAAGGTGAAGCACTCCGTGGCAGCAGGGAGGCGCAGGATCCTTCCTCAACAACCTTTTCCAAATGACCCAGATTGCGTCAACGGGCTCCGGAGGGAGCCCGCAGCCAGCACTCCTCTGATGGAGACATAGGACTTGCAACATGGGGCCCAAGAGAGAAGGAGCAGGACAATGGGAAAGGAAAGCAGAAAGCCTCAGCACCCTCCCCTCCTTCAAACCCGGTAAATGCCTCTTGTTTGCCTTTCTGCTCTTTTAGATAAGCTGGAGACGGATTGCTCCCTCCGTGCCACTTTGCATGCCAAGTTTCAGGCTGCTGGAGAGACTGATGCCGGGTGTTAAGTTTGCTTTGCAAGTTGCTCCTTAGCTCCCCGGGTTGTCTCGGGACTTTTGAAGCAATGCATGTCTCCAGAGTGACCCAACATTTTCCTCCTTTATATTTAGTGGTTGCTTGACAAATATGCCACTACCAGATGTTGCATGCTGCACAGGCAGAGGGACAGCAGAAGGAAAGGAGCTGCCTGCATTTTGCTTGGTGTCCAAAGGCTACAGCCAGACCAGTACTGATGCTCATAGCATTTCTCCAGGCAAAGGGCAGTGTACTCCAGTCAGTGTAGGGATCAAAAACACCCTAGAATGATGAGTATATGCAAGGTCCTCTTCTATGAGGGTCTCACATTAGGATATTGCAGCTCCGCAGTAACTAAGAGGTTGAAAAATGCCTTTTGGGTCATATCTTGTTTAAATGCAACAAGTATTTTCCCCTGTGCAGCTGCAAGGTACAAGCATCATCAGTCAAGGCATCCGAGCCACTTTCAGTACTACCTCACTCTGGGCAGCGAGCAGATCACACAGTAGCAGCTGCATGGTGGACCATTAATTTACTGCCTAGGGAGCTTGACTCTAGAGTTTTAAATGTGCATTTAACAAGAAGTCTACAACTAAGACTACAGTGAGTGCTATGTTAGAAATGAACTTTATAGAAATAATTTTATTGTTAGTTAAAGCACCAGTAGATCTGTCTGGCTTCCAGATGGCTGAGATTCGCTTGTAAGTCTGTTTACAGCTAAATGCTGCTGGGTGCAATATTCAGCTATTTATAAGACTAAGTATCAAGTAGTACAATTTTTAAAGATGCTTCAGCAGGATAAGAATATGGAATCAGTGACCAAATGTCTCATGTAATTAAAACTTCTACTTCAGTACAGAACTACCCATCTGTAAGGCCATGACGGAACTGGGTCCAAATCAAGTCTATTCACTCAGCACTCTGCTCACCACTCCCGTTCAAGGTAGCGGGGCCAGGCAAGAGGGAAGATGGACCAAAACCCCACTCCACATCCCTCCTGTACCATCCATTTGCTCAGCAGAGCCATGCCTATATATATATATATTACAAAAGGCCAGCTGCAACACTTGGGGATAAGGTGGTCTTGCTAACTGGTGCATGTCCAGCAGACTGAGATTTTATGCTCTTGATATCAGTGGAGATTTTAAATTGCCTTTAAATGTTTGAAAATGAACAGTTTTCTCCACAATTAACTCATACTGGGAGCATTTGAATTAAACAATATCCCTCCACCCCAGACATTTGGCAAACTGAAAAACTGTTACCCTTCCTAATTAACTCAGTTTCAGGTGTATAATACCTAATGGGAGGATGCAACCTGCCCTGTAGGGAGAAGCAGGAATGTAGAAAACTCAGAAACAGCTTAAGCCTTTCCATATTCTACCCACATTCTCATGGTTGCATTTTTCTCCTTTAAAGCCTGTCTCCACTGGTATACAGCTTAATTAGCTCAGAGGAAAGCAGCACAGCTTTGACAAGCACTGGTAGTTTGAATGGAGAGGGAGTGTAACGGAGAGCACCCCGCTGCTGCTGCCGGGCTGCAGGGTCTCGGCACAGCAGGCTCCCTCCCAGCCATTAGCAGGTCTCTACAAGGAGGCCAAGGTACCTCCTGGATGGATTTGCAGTCAGCAAGGAGTCCTCAGTGAAAGGGGAATGGGCATTTTCCTCCCCTCACCCTTACCAGGCCCTTCACTGCTGTCCCCTTCTGCTCATACTCATCCTCCTGCATCCCCAGGATTCGCTGTCATCATTAACTATCCCTACCTACCCATCCTTTTGCTCTCTCCCTGGTTGCTTGGCCTCAGGACAGCTAAGTAACATGCAACAAAGTCATTAGCCTCGGTCTCCTTTTTCAGGCCACCTCTGCATGTCACCAGTGTAGTGGGCTCCTCTGCACGGCCCTCACACCAGCTCTCTCAGCCAGGGGCTGAAGGCAGCATGCTGATCTGAGCAACGATCTGCTTCTACACTTAGAAGCCTCCAGCCAAATTCTTAAAACCATTTAATACCATTTTTTTCCTGACTGGTAGAGAAGCTGCACTACTTGATTACACTTCCCACTGGCTGCAGATAAAACAGACCCTTTTAACCATTAAGATATAGCCTTGATGCATGTTATTAACTTCCCCCTATGTTAAGTAACAGATTCAACACCAAAAGCAAAGTAATACATGCTCTCAGATGACTGTAAATTAATCATTTCATGCCTCTATGCTTTCAAGCCTTTCCATCACCATACAGTTTTCAAGCCTTAAGACACTCCTGTTATCAGTGCTGCCCTGTGTTTTCTACAGGAGGTGAAGGGGAAGGAAGGTTGTCCACCTCCAAACACTGATGGAAGGGCTAAGAGCAGAAGCTGGAGCTTTGGCCCTCTGTTTTCCATTTCACTCAGGGGAAAGCACCCCCTTGTTGTGCCAGCCCTTTGCAATTATACCTTTAAATTGTTTCTTTAGGGATTTTCTTCAAAGTACACATCCACTCCTGACTTAACTAAAGCTGCACTCCTGTATTTTCGGAATTGATTGCTTATATTTGAATTGGGGGGTTGCAACAGCAGCAAAGTGCAAGAGCAGGTGCTACTTAAACAGCAAGCACTCCTGAGGGTCTGAGCCTGCGGTTACATGGCCTGAAATGGGAACTCACTGCCTTCTTGGAGCAGCACTCAGACTTAAATAGATGACCATCTAGCAGCTAAGGGTATTGACAAACCAGCCATCACATGCTGCAAGTACTCAGGCCTCCAAAACTGCATATCTTTGCTTTAATTGCATAAACTCACAACTTGTTCCAGCTCCACTCAGATGTCAACATCTATAAATACTTTAAATCCTTTAGTGTGGGCCTTTAAGTGTAGTCACTCCCTCTGCAAGTGCCTGCTTGCACTGCTCTGCCCATGCAAGATGCTCTCCAAAACTTCAGGTCCCATCCTCACACTTTGCAAACTGAATCATGAACGTTTAGTTTAAGGCCAAGTCAGAGATCAGTAAGTGATTGTCTCAGAGGAGTCATGGAAAATAAGACACAGAAGTAATAGAAGACCTTAGCCAGAATCCACTGCAAAGCATCTCTGTTTCCCTTTTACTCATGCACCTAGATTTTCAAAACAGGAAAAGCAGCAAATTCTATCAAGGTTTATTACAGAAAAGTAAAGACTATTTGGAAACATTCCTCCTACCAAGACATCCAGCATCTATAGGAGGGACCTGTCACACCTCACAAAACCAAATAATCATTTCACAGCAGTGGGTTTTGTAGATACCTGACAACCATCAGGCCACAGTCATAAGTCAATCAAATTGTCTGCATCTTTCACATGCAAATTCACCGTGCAAGACAAATGAGCCAATTATTTTCACTATGGTTAATGACTACAGATCCAAAGGCTGAAATTTTAGTTCATATATTGAATACAATGGTCAGCAATAGAATCAGCCCAAAATAACAAAAGAAGTCATGACCTGTTCAGTGGACTAGCAATAGGAAAAAAACCTTCAATTTATTTCTCAGTGGTTAATAATCTCTCTAAAACTAGCAAAATTGGCTCCTTCAGGGTTATATTTAATAAGCTATTGCTATGGTCTGGCTCAGAACTCATCCAGCAATATGTCATTATATCTGCTATCTACCACTATAGACAGCTGCTGCAATTCAATAAAGCTGATGAGAACATACACTTATGTCAGCAGAGGAGATGGCTTTGTAGTTTGAGCATCAAGCTGAGACCAGCTGTTCAGGTTGGGCAGTTAACAGCCTTAAAGGACCTTCAGGCAACTCTGTCAATACAGCATTTGCCATAAGAAAAGGTTGTTCATCACAGGGAAGAGAGAAAGAAGGTAGAGCTAGTCCCCAAACACTACCTGCTAATGATAAATATTAAAGATTAGGAGGTCCCAGTTGCTTATGGCCAAAACTCTGTTCCTTCACAATACCCTAGCTGGCAACAACCCAGCCCTCAAAAGCCCTGGAAATGGCATGCTGTTAGGTGGCCTGCAACACAAGATGCTACAGAAATATGAACAATCATTTACTACAGCTGTCAGTTTTGTAAGACAATTGTCAGCATAACACACAGCTAGGGCATGGACTAGCAACACAGGACAAGCAGGTCAGGCAGCCTCTTGCTGACCTTGGAGAAGCTCTACAGGGCCTCGGACAGAATCACCAAGACTACTTTAAATTGAGACTGCTACAAAATTACAAACTATTTTAAACAAGGTTTTCTTAGGTCAGGTCTCCATTGTTTCATAAAGCTCAAAAAACACCCTTCCTTCCTCCTCCCTCACACTAAAAGCTGCTTTTATACCTTAGTCATCTTCTCTCCTACTACTGTTGTCACTACCAATGCTTGTCCCCTACACAACACTGCAACTAAACCTGCACCTTCTGCAGCTCTAATCTACTTCATATCACTGCTTACCCACATCCCTCACCTCCTAGTTATACCTTAGCTCTCCCCCAAGCCACCCAGATGTTGTGGTCACTTTCCCAGGGCACTGCAGGCACCCACACTGCCCACAGATGTGCTAGTGATAATCCTGGCTCTCCTGCCTTACGCTACTGAACTACTCCCTATTTCCCTCTGCCTTGCTCTCCATTCCTTAGTATGGATTGCTCTTATAGCCAGCACTGTTCAGACTTCCCCCAGGCAAGGTCTTCCCACTAACAGTGGAATCTTCCAAACATTGACTCATTTTAGCCTAAACATTATCATTCTGTCATTGCTGCCAATAAAGCTGGCTCTGTTTCACCTTGCACAATACTTCAGAAACAACTTGGCTGCACCAGAGATAACACACATAATACCAGCAGCACAGGCTGTATTTAGCAAGGCTCAGCAGCTAAACTAAAACTCTGAATCCCCTAACCTACTCTTCTCTAACTGGTAGGCATAAATCCATAAATCCTTTCCTGCACAGTTTTTCCATGATTGCACACCTACACAAAATGGAAAGTATATATATTCAATCTTATTGATCTTTAGAGTAACAGAAAGAAAAACAAAACACAACATGCCTACCTTAGAAAGCTGTAATACCACTAGACAAAGTTACCTAAAAATATCTCATAACTTCAATAAACACATGGTACTTTCCCAGGCATTTGCAAAGAGCTTTACTCACATCAAAGAACTTCTCATTCTTCCAGGGCATTAGAAGAAACATCCTTCAAAATATAACATCAAGAAACTCTCCAGAACTATCCCAGTCCATCAGCAAGAAGCTGTGCTGCTGGGTGGACTCTTTATCTGCTCTTAATCTTGCCTGGATTAGAAGCACCTGGAACCAAGGACCAGCAAGCACATCCTGGGCTGATTGACCTAAATTTCCTTAACTTCAGTAGATCACTGATTACAATTAATATCAGCTGAAGAGCTTGGCATTGGTCCCTTTATTCATTTATGTGCCTAGATATTGTTCAGGAGTAATATATATTGTTCAGGAGGTAATAGAAAGAGTGCTATTAAATCTGGTGCCAAGAAGGTTACAAAAGTTATCTTATTTGCAAACAAACAGGGCTAATTCTGCTTTGCCATACATCCCTTATACCTCTGAACTTCAGGCAAGACATTTAACATCCAGTTCTTTAACCACAGCTACAAGGGGCAGTGAGCAGGAGGCAGAAGATGTTTTGGATGTTTTCATATGGCTCCTGTTGCTAAGGAAACTGCCTCCTTGAAATCTATACGTTCACCACATCTGGGTTACTTAGGCTTAGGTTCTCAAAGCACAGAGTGAGTCATGGTTGGATAGTGATCATGAAAAACTTGCTAAGAAATGTATTAATCACACATATTTGGGCATATGCTAAAATACATGTTATTAGTGCTATATGATAACACAGAACACTAGTAACAGGAGAACTATATTAATATGATTAGTAGTAATAACATGCTTTGTATTAACAAGTATTTCTTTCCACTCAAATAAAAAAAAAAAAAACAGCCCACCTCCCTGCCACGATGGTCAAAAACAAAGCTTTTATACTTTTAACAAAACAGCTATATATTACATACAGAAAGGCAATAGCATACAAATGTGATAGCCATAAGATAGTTACATATATTCTCCACCAGTAAATTATGTAGTGCTCCTACATCATCCTACACCTTATTTTTCTGAAAAAAAAAACACTAAAGATGTAGCTGTTTCCTTTTGTTTGCTTTGGTCTGTTTTGTTGAGTTTTTTTCTGCAAATGGTAATGAGTTTGATACAGGACCAGATATTTTAGGCTAATATAAATATGGGCATCTCAGACCCATGAGAAGGTCCTCATTAATCCTGATAGATATTCTCTATTTGCACATAAGGTTCTGTTTGAAGAGTCATCCATAGCATAACTCACAGAGCCGTGTAGGCCTCCAGCCTGGCCAGGAGCTCTTCTGATGGATCACAGTCATGGGTCCGGACCAGGCCTGATTCTGCTCCTTCTCTTGGGCTGGGCACTAGCAGCCAGTGTCTCATGCCCTTACCCCAGTATTTTGCTTTGAAAACCTCATCAGCCCCTTAGCTTGGATGACACTTGTTCGCCTTGGCCCTGGGACAAATTCCTTGGAGCTGGTGGAGTTTCCACTGACACAAAATGCTGTCAAGGAAAGATGTACTGAACTGAAGAAATGAGCTTCGAGGCTTACTGCACACTGTCCCCTAATGTATTTGCTCAGCACATTCAAACTTGGAGATTTTTAATCTGCAATCAGGAGAAGAAAGCACCTAAGGGTTAAGGGCTTAAGTAATGGGACTCATTTCCCATGTCTGCCTCTCTAAATCACCACAAAAGCTGGAAATGCAGCAGGCATCTTTCCTCCCCCATACCTCCCTCTGGGGGCTCCTTTAGTTTTCCCACACCGGGGAGCGGGGCTGCTAGATTTCTGTTTTACTGTCAAATGGTTTTGTAAGCGCCGGGAAAAGGTGAGTGTGAGGTCCCCTCAGTGAGTGCCACGGCCACGAGCTGCCACTCAGCGTGAGCCCTTGAGAGCAGATGGGCTGCGGGGGCATCTTCAGTGCTCTGATCTTTGGTTGCCATCTCCTTTGGGACACCCGGGGGAGCTTTGTGAGGAGGGTTTTGTTCTGCAAATGTAAATCCTGGTGGGAGCATCTGCTGGGCTGAGCTCCAGCCTGGCAGCCTGAGAGCAGCCCAAGCTTTGGTGCTTGGGCTCAGATCATTTTGTTTCTCCATTTGCTCCCAGCAGATCAGCACCGTGGTGAGCAACACAGCTAATTACTCAAGGGTGGCTTTCTGAGGCAGATGGCTGCTTTCTTTTACAGCTTTCTTATCACAGAGCGTTTTAAGTACCCAGATAAGTATGGGTTTGAATTTTGAATGGCTTTAAGCTGTGTTTTGGTGGCCCACTTGTGGGCCTGTGGTATTTCTGCCTGCTTCCTTCAGCCCAACTGCCTTTCAGCAGCTCTCATCATTCCTTTCCCTGGGGACATACCAGGACCTGCATTAGAGACAGGCCTTCAGCAACCATTACCTCTTGTCCTATTGCTGGCCACCGCCAAGAAGAGTTTGACCCCATCCTCTTTACATCCTCCCCTCCGATATTTGTACTTGTTGATAAGATCTTCTCTTCTCTAGGCTAAACAGGCCCAATTCTTTTAGCCTTTCCTCATAAGATAGATGCCTCAGTCCCTTCATCATCTCTGTAGCTCACACCATGCCTCTTATACCTTCTATTTTATAGGTCTTACCAACTTGATTGCCCCCACGCTATGCTAGGTGCATCCATTTGGTCATATAAGTTGACATTTATGGAATTATTTCCACGGGTCTCAAAATATGAATAGATACCCATGTAAATTTTCATTGAGTGTGGAAGTATGAGAGTTAATACTGCCCGTTCTGGGAGGTTTGCTTTCTTCTACAGTAAAATTGCTGTTGTTGACATTTGCCTGACATGCAAAGGCAACAAGTTTCCTACTCTTGGATAGCAAATGTCATATAAAGCTTCACTAGGTGAGATGAGACCATATCTGGAGCCACGCAACTTTTGTTCTCTCATCTACTTCGCTCAGCACCTTCAGGGTGAACAGTTCACCTTTATTTTCTTCTTTCTGTCTGAAGCTCTCCCAACTATTCCATCTCACCCGATTTTCCCTGTCCCCTCTTGGATATCTCGTCCTTTGGATAGCAACAGCTTTTTGGACTTGGTGATTTCACTGGCTGCTTCTGATCAGGAGAAGGGTCTATAATACCACTCCCAGCTCTAATTGCTGTGTTATGTGCTGTTAAGTTTGGTGTATTTGGTCTCAGGAATTCAACTTATGTCCCAAGCTCACTCCAAAGTATGGAAATGGAAATGAGTAACACCCAAACCAACCGCTACTATTGAGGCTGTAATAGTCCCATATTGTCTGTAAACAGGATGAGATTCCATCTGGTTAACCTCACACGCAATAAATTTATCTTTTCCTGCCAGCTGTGAGGCAGCAGGGTGCCTGAGATGCAGATTCTCACTATGCTCCCCGCAGGCCAGGATGCTGCTCTTCCTCTCTAAACATGGATAGCATTTCCTTAGTCTTTTGAGGATTGTTTCTGGGGATGAAGTGGGTGTAAGGGCTAATAGCACAGCAATATCATGGGCTAGGCTGTTGGAAGTCTCATGGGAATAATGTTTACATGGAATATCTATTATTTTCTTGGATCAATCTGCAGCAGAAGGGCTAATCTTATGAGATGTCAGCAATGTATTCCCAGACAGGAGCTCATAGAAATGATTTGATTCTGATATATCCAGTCCTCTGAAGACACAGAGCGGCTTTGGATGAAAAACTGAAAGCCATTTTTCCCTCTGCCAGCCCTTCCCACAATTTAACCTGAGACCCTCAAATGAACATTTGACTTGATATTCCCTAATTAACTTGACAATTATTTTGTAGGGGGAAAAAAGACTAATTTCTGAACTATGATTTACTAAAGATATTTTGGCTTGATATTTGGGCATCCCTGGTTTTGTTTGGGTAAATATTCCCATCTGCTTCCATGACCAAACATTAGCTCCCATTAAACGACTGCAGGCCCAATGCTCATCCACTGGGAAGACCATTGTGACACTGGAAAAACATGATGACATTCATAGGCGACTAGGACAACGATTGCAGGTTTATGTCACTCAGAGGATGTTCCTTTAGGAACAAGGCCTTGCATATCACATTATCAAGACAACAGTACAATATGGCTTGCTGTTACGGCAGCCAAACTCTCTCCCAGAAAACAAGTCAAAACAGTTTTCAGGCTGTATGCTCCCATTCTCCATAACCAGACTGGCTCTAAGAAGGATCACATTTGTTTTCAGACTTCCTTTAAAAACCTTCAACCTACCTTTGACCTCAAATCCTTGTGCTCCAGATATAGCCCAGAGAATACTGTTCCTTAGGACTTCAGCACTAATTAATTCGCTTAAAGAGATTACTCAAATCTCTTAAACGAATACCAGATTTTTTTTTTTCATTAAGGTCATTTAAAATGACCTTGTAGATGTAGTCAGCAGGATCTAACCTTGCAGATGGGAGCGGGAAGCCTCGGGTGTGGTTTTGACTCAGTAGGTAGGATCGTGGTAAGTTATCGCGCCGCCCTGCCCCTCTGCTTCCCTCGCTTCGATATCCCTGTGATGCAGCTTCCCATCTGTCTCAGAAAGTGCCAAATATCCCAGGTCTGCAGGGGGAAAAGGCAATATCCAGAGAACATTTTGGGGGCTACGCACATCCTGCTGTTTTCGTTCCCTAATTCCTTTGCTGCTTGCTTTCCTGCCTAATATTTCCTTCGTATCAGTGCCAGCATGGGACTGACTTGCCCAGCACCCTGCCTCCTGCATTAATAAAGCTTGCGCTGCTTGGAAGTGGCTTTAACTTAGTGACTCTGGCTCAGTGCACAGCTCCTTGGGCAAGTTAACGTGCGCCGGGGTCTCACTGCAGATACAGACCCCTTTCTGTGATGCTTTTGGGTGTCCTCCCTGCCGTGTAGCTAATATTGGTTATTTATATCTGGTATATATCCATGCTGCTTTCTCTGAGCCTTTCTTAGGTTTCCGAAATAATTGATCATGTAAAGACAGGTTTGGGTTGGCTGTGCTGCAGACATTTTCTTAAGAACGATGGGTGGCTCAATGAGGTTTGCCTTAAATATCTTGGCATGGGGTTCTGGCCTGGGATGTGGCTTAGAAACTTTACTTGTGA